CAGAACATCTTAATCAATTGTGAAACAGCTGTGTTTAAATTTTATAGAAACAAAGGATGGAATTTAAAAAAATAATATTAATATAGCAAAAATCCTCAGTAAAATACGAGCAAATGTAATCCAGAAGCATAATTAAAAGGATTATACAGCATGAGCAAGTAGGATTTATCCCAAGAATAGGTTAGCTTTAGAAAATCAATCAATGTAATGCACCACATTAATACAACAAAAGGAAAGGCCCACACAGTCATCTCTATCGACACAGGAAGGGCAGTTGATAAACTTTAATACTCTTTTAGAAAAGTTTAAAACACTCAACAAGTAGGAATAAAAGGAAATTCCTTGGTGTAGATAATAAAATAGATATGAAAACCTATAGGTAACATTTGGTAAAGTAGAGGGCAGTGAAAAAGAGCTGATTGCTGTGAGATGAATTGGTGTTGACCCAGCAGTAAGCTCAGATGTGATGACCATGAAGGTCATGCAGGACTGGGCCACGTTTCATTCTGTTTTATGCTGGATAGCTTTAAGATCTGATTCATTAGCTCCAAAACCAGTAACAACACTGCCGTACTCGATGTAGAAAGACTTGAGACTTTCTTAAAGTCAGGAATAGGATAAGTGACTGCTATTCAATATTGTACTGTCCTAGACAGAGTAGTTAGAAAAGATAAAGAAAAGAAAGATACTTGAATTGGAAAGGAAGACATAGAAATGTCTTCTTTTTTTTCTTAGTGGCATATTCTGCATACAGAAAACTCCAAAGAATTTACAAGAAATGTAATAGGCTAATAAATTAATTTGGCAAAATTATGAGGTCCAAGTTGAGTACATAAAAATCACTTATGCTTCTATTCATCAACAGTAAGCGTTCTGAGAGCAAATTAAAGAAACAGTTCCATTTATAGTAAAGTCTGGAAGAATAAAGTACCTGCGAATAAATGTAACCAGAAAAATTAAAGACTACGCATTAGTTTAAAATTTTAAATTTAAGAAGTGTGAAACATTGCTGAAAGAAGTCAAAGAAGACCTAAATAAATGGCAGGACATTTTATGTTCATAGGTTAGGATTTATAATGTTAAGAAGCTGCTACACACAAAGCAGTTTATAAACTCAGCACATTCTCCACCAGAATATCTGCAGAACTGGAAAAGCCAATCAATCTTTTGGGACTACGAAGGACCTCAGATAGCCAAAGAAATGGTGAGAAAGCATTAATTCAACTTTAAAACATTCTGTGCAATTTACAGTAATCAAAACAGTGTAGTACTAGTATAAGGAGAGTTGGTATCTAATGGGATAAAGTTGAACATCAAGAAATGAACCTGTACATTATGATCATTTGATTTACCGCAGGAATAACAAGTCCATTCAATGGAGAAAGAATTGTCTCATTTATACATAGTACTAAGCAGCTGAAATTCCACATATGTAGGAATGAAGGAGCCAAATGCTTGGACCAGGGCAGCAGCAAGGACCCTCACATTGCTCCCAGGACTCATAAAATACACAGAAATTAATTGAATCCATTGTGTTTTTCATTCTGTAGAACTGCTTATGTCCTGAGGATTTCTCATTAATCTTCAGCTTTTGGGGAAGGAAGGTCTTACAGCTATGTAATTTAGCATAGGAAACTTGGTGGGCTAGAGGGAAATACTATAAATTTTTTTCCGACTGAGATTAATGTGTTAAATATGCATAAATTTGCTTCTGAATATTACTGATTTTCAATGCTTCGTATCTTTTTAGGATGATGTTCGGCATAAGGTTCATCTGAACACTTTCGGATTCTTCAAGGATGGATATATGATGGTTAATGTCACGAGCCTCTCAATAAATGAGCCTGAAGGAGCTACAGAGAAGGATGCAACTGTAAGTATCTTTTAATGAGTTTGAGGTTACCTTTTTCTGTTGATAGAGTTAAAGCTTTACTCCTTAAACAAAAAAGTACCAGAATATGAAAAAAAGTATCAGAATATAGAAAAAATGAAACTTTTGAGTATGGAGTTGTCCTGTTAGGCATCAGAAAGTTTTCTGTGCAACATCTAAGTTATAATTGTTTTTGTAATTGGAGATTTTATTTGGGTAAGAATTTCTTTTCTTAACAAAGTGTGTGTATACTAAGAAACCAGAGTTGGTCAAGTCCAAAAAAAAAAATCACCAGAGTGAGAAAGTTATAAATAAAAGATGCTGTTTTAGGACTTACCTCTACTCTTCTTACCCTCTCTTAGATTGGCTTCAGCCTTGACCGGACAAAGAATGATGGATTTTCTTCTTATCTGGTAAGTATTACGTGCTTGACCTGTCACTGTTACGTTTAATCGAAGAGACAGAGGGGAGCCTGCATGCTCCTTTTGGCACTGTTTCCTTGAAGCGCTGGCTGTTTTGACTGCAAAGGATTTCTGTGTACTGTTTGGAATGGAGAGTGTATCACTTACTCACCTCACGTCTGGAAACTTTTTGTTCTTATTCTAGTGGTAATGAACAAGATGATGTACAATTGGTTCTTCCCTTCTCAGGATGAAGATGCCAGTTTCTGTATTTTAAAGAAGCAATCTCTTTCTGTTACCCTTCTAATCTTAGACATCTCCAGAAGTGAGTAAGTAATTCTGATATTCCTTCAGTTCAATCTAGAGTCAAGTTGGGGGAATTTAATAGTTAAGTTAGTATTTATTGAGTATCTGCCATGCATCAAATACTCGACTATAGATTGAAAATAATGTGAATGGGATAGAGGTCCTACCCTTGAAGAATTTATGAGTTAATTAACAAAGGAGACAATAAATGATCTCAGCCAAGTAGCGAAGTGGTGGGGGAGAAGCATTGTGGAAGGGAAGATGTCAAGAAAGTCTTATCCCAAGCAGATTCCTAGTAAACAGTCTTCATCAGATAAATAGGAAAAGGAAAGACAATCCAATAAATAAGAACAATATATGCAAAGATAAAGTGGTGTGAAATACAACAGTGTGTTTAATTAATTAATTATTGGTAGAGAATAAAGTTGGAGGGAAGCATAGTAAGAAGAAAGTCTAGCTTCAGTTAATGGGACAGTGTTAAATGCCAGTCCAGTGGCCTTGACTGTCCTGGTAGTTTAGAAATCTGTTGTTGGCCTGATTTCTGACTTTCAACTCTAATGCTTAAGAGAAAAAGAGAGCCTCTAGGCCATGTTTGAAGATTACTTGTGTCGCTCACCTGGGTCTCAGGGATCTTACCCACTATATAATACATAATAATATACAAGAGTGTTCTGAGGATTTAGACAATTCAGCATTTTAAAAACATTTCATATTAAGTGATTGATAGAGGATTTTGTTTTCGAGTTCAGTATATCCAAATGGCTACTTCACGGACTTCTGTGGATAGTTTTTGTGGAAGTTTTTGAAGAAAGTCTTAAGCCAGAGATGGCTTGCCCAGGCTTGCTCTGGTATCACTTTGTTAGTGGTATAACTAGGTCTACCACTGATAGCCGAGGACAGGTTGGATTTCAGAGGACTAAGATTGGAGGTAGAAAGAATTCATTTGGAAACTTCTGAAGAGTAAGGAAAAAAATTTCTTTGCCACAAAACTATTGTAGGTGTTAAATTTCTAATTATTCTCTATGATAAGCTCTCTTTTAATTAAGAAAATGCCTCTGTCATTCTCTTTTACTGGTTAGGATACTTATTTTGTTGTTATTTTAATGATATTATAACAAAAGTTTACAGAAGACTTGGAATTCCTTTCATTCATTGCTGCACATTGGTTAGGATACTTTTGACATGAGGTAACAAAAGGCTTGTCTGAGATTTGCTTAAATAGTGAAGATACTCCTTCTCTTACTTCCTGAAAGTCCACTGGTGGGATTTGGTGGGCTTCAGGTAAGAGACAGATGAGCAGTAGTTTAATTATATTACTGATCCAGGTCCTTTCCATCCCTCTGCTGTCATTGTGAGGCTGCTTTCCTAGCTATCACTCGGCCTCAAGGCTCTACTTCACTGCTAACATCCAGCTGAGAGAGGAATGTCAGAGCTTCCCTTTCCGGCCCAGTCAAGGATTGGAAGTGCTTCCTTTCAACTTGAATCTGCCAGCTTCAGTTATATGTCACTCTGTGATAAAAATGTCACCAGTCCACCTTGACAGAAGGCACGAATGAGCAGAATTGGCTTCTGTTAAAAAGGGGACTGTCAAGCAAGGGACAAGTAGTACCTATTGCCCTGTCATGTTTCCATAGCCTTCACGTTAACATTTTTGCTAGGTTTTTTGCCGATAGTGTGCAACAATGTATGAATGGAAATCCAAAGTCTCTCTAAATTTTCATTAAATATA